GGACAGAGTTTCACTTTGTCACCCTCAGTAAAGTGCTGTGGCATCACAGCTCACAGCAACCTCCAGCTCTTGGGCTTAAGCGATTTTCTTGCCTCAGCCTCCCAAGTAGCTGAGCTACCCACAGGTGTTCATCACAATGCCCAGTCATTTTCACATGCCCAGTCATTGCTGTTTAGCTGGCCTGGCTGGGTTTAAATCCTCCAGCCTGGGTTGTACGTGGCTGGTGCTGTAACCACTGTGCTACAGGCACCAACCTGAGATTTCCATATTTTTATTAGTTAACCTGGTTCTGCATATCTCTACTGGCTGTGAGAACTTGTATAAGTTGCTTAACTTCTTGTATGTTCTATTTGTCATCAGTAAAAGGAGGATAAAAGTATAGACTTCGCAAGATATTGCCCTTTAGAGGGAAAGACTCACACCACCATCGGAATCACTTAGCTTATTTTTAGGTATCACTTTGGCCAGTGCTGCTCTTGGAGATGGGTCACTGAGGGCTGAATCTCCAAATGATTCAGTGGTCAGATAGGCAGAAAAAAGCCCCTAAAGTTCATTGGTCCAGTTAAAGTAATTCTAAAAGTCTTAATAAAACGGAGTTTCAGTGGCTTAACAATATTTCCTTTCCTGGAAGAAGAAAAAACAGTGTTAAGAGGTCCTAATGCCCACCCACTTCTAACAAGTCTATTCCTTGAAATGAAGCACCTCTTCTGACCTCATGTCTTTGGTGACAGCCAGTCACACAGCCCCATGTGTATGCAAGGGGGCCTTGGGAATGTAGTCCTGGGATGGGCAGCCACCTGCCAGCAAGAGCAGCACATGGCCATACACAGGGTTGACCTACCACATCAACTCATCCTACCATCCTAAGGCAAAGTCAGCTGGCATTGCCATCCTATCATCCCACCCCACATTAGGTAACACCATAACTCTGTTAATGTTGATTCTCTTCTTAGTACTTAATTTTTTTTTTTTTTTTTGCAGTTTTGGCTGGGGCTGGCTTGAACCTGCCACCCCTGGTATATGGGGCCAGCGCCCAACTCCTTGAGCCACAGGTGCTGCCCTCAATTTTTTTTTTTTTTTGAGACAGAGTTTCAGTTAGTTGCTTTGGGGTTGTGTGCTGTGGCATCATAACTCATAGCAACCTCAAACTCTTGGGCTCAGGTGATCTTCTTGTCTCAGCCTTCCCAGTAGCTGGGACTACAGGTGCCTGCCACAACACCTGGCTAGTTTTTCTATTTGTAGAGATGGGGGTCTCACTTTGTTCAGGCTGGTCTCAAACTCCTGAGCTTGGGAAATCCACCTACCTTGGCCTCCCAGAGTGCTAGGATTACAGGTGTGAGCCGCGGCCCCTGCCCTTAGTACTCATTTTAATGTACATTATGCACAATGGTGAAGAGGATCAGGGAAGAGGATACATTGTAGTTTTCCCACTTCTTGCTCTTTGCTGAATTTTCCCTTCTGCTAAGAACATTTCTCAACCCCCCCCCAAAACAAAAACACCTGCTCTATTACACACACACACACACACACACACCCCCTTGAGAATTAGAGACATGTATAGACATCTGGCTAGTATACAGACGTTCAAGGACAGATCTCTCTGGATCCGAGGTTGTAACGGGACAGCACAGTAAGCTGCAGTTGCAATAAGCAGCAAGGACGTCTCTATCCTGGTGATCTTTCTTTTTGTAACAGAAAAAGAACTGAGCCACATGTGGCCCACTCCCAGCTCACTGAATCAGTAGCAACAGAGCAATGATTGTGTTGCGCCTTGTCTGATGTTTCTTGGAAGTTAGGATGAGCTGCCAACAAATACTTCCGTTGTGTCTGTGGTGTAATTGAGATATCCCCGGTTGTGATGGGGGAATCGCTGAGGTTGAGTACTCACTCTCTCACTCACAGTACGATTTTAGGTAATTGACTTGTATTTTACTGAGTCACGTGTCTTCATTTGTAAAAAGGGACCATTGTACCAACAGCTGCCTCGCGATACAGAGTCGAGAATTCAATATGTTAGTCAATAAGAAGACGCTGTATAAACTGTAACGCTCTGTACGAAGCGTATTTGCTGTTTCTGTCTTACTTCTTCCACCTCCTTCAAAACCAGAGCTGCTCTTGGTTAGGCCAATTCATGATGTGGTTTGGAAGATGCTGTGTCTTTCTCCTTGCAACAAATGAGAAACGCTCTGGAGCTTCCTCTGCAGAGCGTCCTTCACCTCCTTGTTGCGGAGGCTGTAGATGAAGGGGTTGAGCATGGGAATTATGATGGTGTAGAAGACGGACACCACTTGGCCATTGGTGTCGTAAGTGGCTCCATGGGGCTGGACGTAGGTGAAAACCAGTGTGCCGTAGAAAATAGCTATGGCCAGGAAGTGGGAGGCACATGTGGAGAGGGCCTTCTCCCGCCCCGCTGCTGAGCGCATCCTCCCAATCGCCACCAACACCAAACTGTAGGAGGTGAGGATGACTGAAGCAGGCAGGAGGGTGGCCAGAGCAGAGAAGACATACAGGACCATGCCTGCTGTGGCTGTGTTGGCACAGGCCAGCAGCAGGAGGGGTGGCACATCACAGAAGTAGTGATTGACTTTGTTGGGCCCACAGAAAGGCAGGGCAAAGACATTCCCCGTCTGGATAGCAGAGTTGGCTCCACCAAAGGCATAGGAAATAGCCACTAGCTGGATGCAGGTTCCCTTGGTCATGATAGAACTGTAATGGAGGGGTTGGCAGATGGCCATGAAACGGTCATAGGCCATGGAGGCCAGCAGGAAGCTCTCAGAGGTCACATGTACTACAAAGAAGGCCAGCTGGACCACACAGCCCTTGAAAGAGATGGACTTGTCAGAGACTAAAAAGTTGACCAAGAGCTTGGGTGTGACCACAGAAGAGTAACAAATGTCAAGGAAGGAGAGGACGCTGAGGAAGAAATACATGGGGCTATGGAGACGGGCGTCTGTGAAGATGAGTGCTATCATCCCCAGGTTGCCCACCACTGTCACAGCGTAGATAAGCAGGAAGGCTCCGAAGAGAAACCCCTGGAGGTCTGGATAATTGGAGAATCCCAGCAAGATGAACTTGGCAACTGGGGTGTAGTTGCCGCTGGTGAGGGCTAGTTCTCCAGGTGTCATCTGCAGAGGTGACAATTAATTATCACTCAAGCAGTGCTACTTGGGCATGTCCCCTTGTAGGGCGGGCACGACAAGGGACAACAAACATCAAGCATGTATGAGGCTCCTTTTACAGAATGCATCAGCCGTAGAGTAAAGCACACGGGCTGTGAAGCCAGACAGACCTAAGTCTTAACTGTGATTGTGGAACTAACTAGTTGTATACTTTTGGAGAAGCATTTTCTATGAGCCTTAGTTTCCTCATCTGTGAAATGAAGACATTATGCCTACTTCTCAAGACTGCTGTGTGGCCTGAATTAAAAAAGGGAATGTGAAACATCCAAATGCCTAGAACATGGCAGGTAATCGATGCCTCTGTCTATACAATATGTTTATAACTCTTCTGGACACTTATTTCAGTCTTTTTTTCCTTAAATCAAGGTGTGATTCACAGACTATAAAATTCACCATTTTAAAATCTACAATTTGGTGGTTGTTAGTACCTTCATAATGTTATGCAACTTTTCCCACTGTTTCATCCAAGAACATTTTCATCACCCCCAAAATAAAACTGCATATCTCTCCCATGCTGATCAGTAGTGGGATTGCGCCTGTGAATGGCCACTGCCCTCCAGCCTGGGCAACATAGTGAGACTCCGTCTCTTATTAAAAAAAGAAAATAAAATAAAACTGCATATCTTATAGTAGTCACTTCCCTTCTCCCCTTGCTCAGCATCTGGAAACCATTAATGAATTTTCTGTCTCTGTGGATTTACCCATTCTGGATATCTCATATAAATGGATTCATATAATATAGGGCCTTTTGCATCTGGCTCCTTTCACTTAGCTTAATGTTATCAAGGTTCACCCATGTGGCAGCTTGTATCAGTAGTCATCCTGTCTTGTATTTAAACACACTTGAGGGCATCCCATCCTCTATAATCAGAACCACCTTGTCCTCTACAAATCCATTCAGTTGAATGTCAGCTGGGAGATCATCAGCTTGCACATGGTGGTTTAGTGTCTGCGTGATTATTCTCTAAGACCTTAATTCATGGGGTGACTAGAAATGCCCAGAATCCTCTCTGTCCTCCTCACCTGTTCCACTCTCTTCCGTCCTCCCTCTTTGAGAGTCTGAACTACGTCCTGAAAATCAGTAGGCCTCACCACCTGCTTCACCCATGTCAGACAGGTTTATGTTGAGGACAAAGAGGAAATGCAGTGTCATTGTGCAGAAGAATGTAGGAGAACAACCTCACCTGTATTCTCACCTGTCGTGACAGGTACATGGTAAGGTAGAAAGAGCTCTGGATTGACAGGATGGAGACTGGCTTTCTACTTTCCCCTCTGTTGCCTGTTAGCTCTCTGACCCTGTTATCCCCTCTCAGGGTCTCTGATTTATCATCAGCCAAGTCAAGATTTGGTACAGAATATATCTGAGGTCACCCCTGGGCCCGCAGTCTGACTGTGAGCACCTCTTCCCTGAGCTTCCTGCCTGGGGGTGGATCTTTGCATCAGCATGCCCCAGGAAACACAGAAGGAGTCCATGTGAACTTGTCTAGAGATCAAGGATGCCTGATTGTAAGGGGCAATTGTAGGAGGTTCTGTCCAGCTTGGAGGGTCTGTTGCAGTATCTTGCCCACTCACAGTGGTGATCTCTGGCAAATATTTCAAACATGGAACATTGAGTTCTGAGAAACTTTGCTAACATAAATAAAAAGATGGGGCATAAGGATTTCTGTCATGGTATTGCCATTCAATGCCTTGAAATCCTTCTTCGTTAATGCCAGGAGTCATGCAGTGATGCGTCATCAAAAGTTATTTTTAATTCTTTTTTTTTTTTTTTTTTTTTTTTGAGACAGAGCCTCAAGCTGTCCCCCTGGGTAGAGTGCCATGACATTACAGCTCACAGCAACCTCCAACTCCTGGGCTCAAGCGAGTCTCCTGCCTCCACCTCCCAAGTAGCTGGGACCACAGGCGCCCACCACAACGCCCGGCTATTTTTTGGTTGCAGCCGTCATTGTTGTTTGGCGGGTCCGGGCTGGGGATTCGAACCCGCCACCTTAGGTGTATGTGGCTGGCGCCTTAGCCGGTTGAGCTATAGGCGCCGAGCCATTTTTAATTCTTTATCATCTGTTAATTTGAGATCCTCCCTCTGTTTTGTTGAAAGATTTCATACTGATTTAAGAGAGTTTTATAGGTAATTATTAAAGTCATTTACTTTTCAACACCTGTTTGTGAAATTTTATTTTTGTGCAGTATTCTGGAAGTTTTCATAAGCTCATGAAATGCCTTCTTGTAGGATTCAGGATGAGTTAGAAACATGCATTTCTGTTTGGGAGAAGAGCAACTGTAAAGGGGGAATGAGAGATGCCCAGCACCCCGTCACAGACGTGGCCAGGTCATTGGTTTTAGGAAGGAACAGATATGTACACTGAGGTTCTGGAAATTAGTTCCCTTAAAAATTATTTTGCCTATGAATGCTTTGATCAGTCTTCACTTACTCTTGGGAGTTACACATCCCTGGTTTGAAAACTGTGGCCTTGCAAGAAGTAGTCAGCTCCAGAAACTCCCAGGACCATCCCTGGGCTTGGCTGCCTCTCTTTCCTCCCAGAGCTGAGTTTGTGATTATGATTATGTGACTACAGGAGAAGTCACTCCTTCAGAGAACAGGCTTCTATTTCTTGTAAAGGTCAGAACATGCAACTCTGAAAGTCAGGGTTCTGGGATTGTGGCAAAATCCACATGAGTCAGGCTTGAAGCATAACAAACTAAGTTGGCTTCCTGCCCTGTGCTCCCATTCTCCACCCATGCAGTTATTCTTATTTTTTTAGAGATGAGGTCTTGCTATGTTGCCTCGGTTGGAATGCAGTGGTTATTCACAGGCTTAATCCCACTACTGTTCAGCATAGACATATGTTTACTCTTTCTCTTCTTTTCTTCTCCTTCTTTTTTTTTTTGACAGACTTGTACTCTGTCACCCTGGGATAGAGTGCTGTGGCATCATTACAGCTCACAGCAACCTCAAACTCTTTGGGTCACCTTGCCTCAGCCTCCTGAGTAGATGGGACTACAGGTGCTTACTATGATGCCTTGCTAGTTTTTTTTTTTTTTGTTGTTGTTGTTGTAGTTTGGCCAGGGCTGGGCTTGAACCTGCTACCCCTGGTATATGGGGCCAGTGCCCTACTTCTTGAGCCACAGGCGCTGCCCTGACTTGCTAGTTTTTAGTTTTTTTTTAGAAGAGACGGAGGTCTCACCCTTGCTTAGGCTGGTCTCTTAACTCCTGAGCTCCAGCAATCCACCTGCTTTGGCTTTCCAGAGGGCTTAACTTTCTTAGGGGCTGAGTTCTTTTCAAATTCCAATGTCCACAAGTCTCTGATCTACAATGAATATTACTGCTTTCATTTTTTTTCTCTGATAGGATGACAGCACAGTCATGTACACACACACACACACACACACACACACACACACATACTTCCTTTTGCCAACTGAATTCTCATTTTGTGTGCTGTCATAACCTGGTGGTAGAATTGTTTAATAGGGCTTTGTCCGTTTCCAAGTCTGTCTTTCCCCCATTGGGTTGTTTTGTTTTCCTACCACATCACTACTTCTGAGAGCAGAAGTTATTTTAAGTTTTATGATAAGGAAACAAAGAATTTTTGAACAACTACTATGATTCAGAAGTATTTACATAATTATGGTTGTTCAAAGCATTGAAATAATTGCTGTTCCAAAGAGCGTAAGACATGGTTGCAGCCATGTAATCTCAAAGTTTTGTTGAGAGACACAATTGTTCCCCTGAGAAAGAGCAAAGATGGGTGGAACCCACCCTGCTGTGGGAACCCCCAACAGAATGGTAATTGAGGCGTGGAGTGGTGTGACAAGGCTTTAGAACCAGGGAACATAGGGCTAAGCCTTGAGGAATGAGGATGATGTGGCAGGTGGCGGAGATGGGGAAGCCCAAGGCCCTGAAGTGGGAATTAATCTTACCAAACATTTATGAGGCAGAAGGTGTTTTGGAAGGAGTCAGAAAACTTGGTAGAGTTGCTTAACCTCCTTGAGCCTCAGTTTCCTCAATTTCTGTGGGGACTGAAAGAGTGAGTGTTGATGCACTTAGCACACTTCTGGAAACAGAGAAGATGCTGGACAGACATACATCAGTGTTCATTAAGTCTGATTAGGAATGCATAATGAATGGGGAGCCAGAAGACATTGCTCAGGACCCCCGAATACACTGGGATCATAGGAAATGCTTAAAGGCTAACTGAGTAAGGGTGGATATGGATTGTGGAGCAGGGCAAGGAGAAGAGAACAGGCAACCTCAGCTTTCTGAATCAGTGCCCAGGAACTTCAGTAGAATTTCCATTTGGCAAATACTGACCTTAGCAGACAGCACTCCTCAGCTTGACACAACGGCAGAGGGGACTAGAGAACCTCTCAGCCCAACCACCTGGGGAGGCTCTGGGACTCCCTTCCACTCCAGCTGGTGACTTTCAGATTCTTCTCCCTAAAACTCTTTCTGGAGGGAGGTCACACCCCCAAACCTGAGGACAAACAAGACACATAGCTCAGGCAAACAAGAATGGCACTCAGGACTAATGCTCCACAGAACCCACTGGCCCTGCCCAGAGTTCATAAAGCCAGCTCCATGCCTGCTTGGTCCCTGATGGCTTTGAAGGCTTAAAGCTCCAAGAAGCTCTTGACACACACCATCTCGTGGGGTCCTGGAAGGTTCAGCCTCAGGGGAGAAGATTATCCCTTCTAGACTTTAGGCACTTATTTTGGTCTAGAGGCACAGCAAGGCGAGGGTCTCCTTGGGGAGCTGGAGCTGGTGGCTCTCTTCTTGGCTGTAGAAAGGCTTAGCAGAAGCAGGTTAGGGCCTTCTTGCCTCCTTCCTGGATTCTGAAGTCTGGATGAAGAAAAGTCATCTTGTCCTCTGGGAGTCTGCAGGAACATGGGGGTAGTTTTCCCAGTTTTTCAACTAAATAACCCAGGGGGCCTTTTCTGCTGGGCCATAA